AGGCAGCAGGCAGCAGGCAGCAGGCAGCAGGCAGCGGGCAGCACAGCCAGCAGCCAGCAGCCAACGGCCAACGGCTAACGGCCAACGACCAACAACCGACAACGGCCAACGACCAGCGACCAACGACCAACGATTGCCTTAGCCGTGCTATGTGACACAGCGAGAGCCGAATCTCCACGCAAGTGTCCCACGTGACCGCAGTAGCCGCGTCGGCCAAGGCAGCCCGTGCCATGACTGCGGAGGCCGCGGCAGAGCAGCCCCGCGCCCCCTTCCCCCCGCAACGCCCGTGCGTCAGGGAAAAGGAAGGGCGCAGGCGACGGCCCCAAGCTGGCGGGCGCAGCGGCAAGGTACGCCGCGGAGACAGGCGTGCTCGCTCGGCCTCGGCAAAAGCTCGGTCTTGCCGAAAGCGGGTGTTAGGTGAAAGCGGCCCCAGCCATGGGGCCAGTCGCCAAGTTCGCCGCCACCCGCCGCAGCGGGTGGCGCTGCTCGTGCAAGGAGTTGCTGCCAAGACGGGCGCTCGAACCAATACTGCCCACTGCCCGGAGCAGGTTGCCGGCCGCCGCCGCCTCGCCCGCGCTACGCCTTTTCCACCCGCGCCGGTACGGACTGGCTGGCGCGTGTTTTGCGTGTGGCCACGGAGGCAGCGCGAGGCCACTGTGTTTTCCGAAAATGCGTGTCCGGCAAGCGTGTGCGCCCAGCTCGTGTTGCGTGGGCCAGGCGCACGTCGTCGAACAAGGCGAAGGGGCGGACACGGGGACCCCGTGATGCCTGCCCTGTTTGCGCTTGCGCAGCCTTGCAGGCCACGCAGGCAGCGCTTTTTTGCCAGGTGAAGTTTTCGTCGCGTTTTGAAAGACATCTACATCTTCTTGCGGCCCGGTCGGGCACGTGCGTTTTTCGATTTCCAAGGACAAGCCGGAAAGTCGAGGTTTTGGGGCCGTGGAAAACCTCAGCTGGGCCCCCTCTCGGCAGAACCTGCGCGTTCGCGCAGGCAAGCATAGAAATCACGAAAATCGAGGTCGCAAAAGGGCTTAACTTAGGTTTAAGCTGGATTTACTTAACTTACATAGGGGCAAAAAGTCGTTTCAGCGCGCTCAAATCCACAGCTGGGTCTTTGGAAGCCTTCCCAACTTACTTACCTTGGGCATCCTTTTTTGAGGCGTATCCCTGCCGCGCCGCACTTGCCGGGCTGACACCCTCATGATCCAAGCGCGACTCCTGGTTGTCGCAAGCTTCTGCATGCTGCGGGTGGCGCCGGGCCGATGGCTTCCAGGTGTCCGGCCTGGCGTGAGCTGTTGCGCTTGGATCCGCGCAGCCAAGGGAGACTTTGGCGATCACACCTGTGGATGGCAGCGTGCTGCCGGAATTGTGTTTGACGCCACCGATGAGGCACCATGCCTCCCCATTCCCGAGTTCAACGTCCCACATCCTCCTTTCCGGAACGCGGCCTTGCACGATCTCCCCTTCAGCGAGCGGGTGTGCTCATGTTGACCTCAACCTCAAAGCGCTTTTGCTGGACGGCCGACGCCTCGCCCATTTGGGGCGGCCTGCAGGTCAGCGACCGCGAGCCTGGCCTGGCCCAGCCCCAGATCCGCCACGCGCCACCACACTTACCCTGGAGCCGGCGCTGCCCGTCCGCGACCTGGAGGTGGGGGTCGGTAACTCCCGGAAAGGGTTCGCGCACACCAAATGCTGCGCGGGGCTGCTGTGCAGGCGTATGCGCGGCGGTGGACAAGGCGCCGAAGCCCACTTGGCGCCGGCGCTTTGGCTTTCCAATTTGGAAAAGGCGTCTAAAAAAAACTGCACAAATGTTGTGATGTACACAAGTGTGATGTTGCTTGTGTACACTGCGTCGTGCCACGTATCCAGGCACTACTCTGCTCTCTTATTGTGATGCCTTCCCTTTTAGACTCGTCGACCACCGAAGAACTCTTGTGTCACAAGAGCTCCTTTGTTTTTTTGGCTGCTGGAGTTCCCTTGGTGCACAGCCTGAGAAACAACCAAAGCTTGGGTAGATGAAGCTTAGTCGGAAGGTGCCCTGTTTGAAGATGGTTTAAAGGCAAGCCACCGTGAAAACACACACACACACACACATTTTAGGGCTTCCTTACTTTGTCATATGCCCAAGCCGCCTCCATCCGCGTTTATCCTTTCCGGGTCGGGTTCGGCTCACCTGAAAACATCGAAGAAGTCATAGCTTGTCATGTGAAAAGTGCGCGACCCGAGAGAAGCAGAAAGCAGCAAGACACACACGCCACAGAAAACGATCGAACACAGCAGAGAGCTTCAGGCAACGTCAGCGCCGAAGAAACGAGTGAGCAAACACACAATTCATCAGACGACCAAGCAAACACAAGACAAGCAGCAAAGAAGCAGACCAAAAAACAAACAAAAAAAAACAAGACTTGCGAAGAACAATCTCCGGACCCATCCGCGTGGATTTCCTCCGCCATGGGTGCTACGGAAAGCTGCCAGCGCTGCTGCGGACGGGACTGGGAACTTCTGGAGGATGGAGGAGGCTAGGACCCGATACCCCCACCCCCCAACCCCCCCCCCCCCACAAAATTGGTTTAAACATGTTCAAACCATAAGACCCTTGGACCCCCTTTTTTGGGAGCGTTGCTAGACCTGGCTGACTTTAGTTTCCAAGGTGTTTGCTCTCCAGGCAGCTTTTTTTTTGGGGGGGGGGAAGTCTACAATTGCGATCACAACTGACTGTGGAGCAACCTTCTGGACCTTTTGGGCCAGCCCAGATGTTGTTTTCAGACAATCTGTCGCTTTCTTTTGGGAAGAGCGTTTTAGTGGCAAATAAAAAGACAAGCCACACATCCTAGATTGTGGTAGATGTCCATCCACATCCCCAAGCTTTTTGACCATTCCTGAGGCCGGCGGCCCCTGTACCCCACCAGCGAGGTCTCGGAGCCTTTAAGCGTCAGGGGCCCTGTGGTGGACCCCCGTCAGCTGCTGGCGGCCTTTCGGCGGAAAGAAGGGCACCCCCCCCCCCAAATCAAGAAGAAAAAAAAAGAAGGAAAAGAAAACACATGACCCGTGCAAGATCCCTTGCACACCTTTCCATGTAGCCACCCAAGAGGGAAAGATAAGGATTGGGACAGGGTTGCCCAAGAGCTTGTCAAAATAGCAATGGGGCATGTGAAACGTCTAAAGTGGAACGACCAAGAGGGTGATGCCCCCTTAGGAAAGAATGGCCTTCGCCCATGGCAGATGATCGAGGTGGGGGAGTTGGGGTTGACCTCTGCCCCAAAAAAACCTTGATCCTAAGGTGTCCTGCTCGCTTGCCCCCACCCACCCACCAAGGTGTTCCAGAAACAGAAGTCAAATTATTCCACAAGGTAATTTCTGGAGCTACATGGAACGAATGGCAGGGATAAGCCTGGGGAGGAGTTGGTAGCAAGTCTGAGAAGGAAACACATCCAAGAGGTGTGTAAAGGAGAGTGCCAAATGACGCTAGGAAACCAACTGTTTCTGGGATTCGTAAATATTCGTAATGCTAGGACGCATGTGTGACAGCCGATTGGGCAAGCAGCACCCCCTGACGCCTGAGTAACTCAGTAATGAGTATGCAGGGGGAGCGGGCCTACCGAGCCGGTGCCTTCATACTTTGCCCTTTTGTGGGCACCAGGGAGGCCGCAACTCCCCAAACTCGTTGATTTCCGTTGGCATCATTTCAGCCAGCATAGTTCCTTCCCATTAGCCTGTGGATTTCCATCTTAAGAGCGACCTTATCCGACTCAACCTTTTCAGTCAGAGGCAGTTGTCAGGTGAACATGATTGAGATATGGAGGGTTAATACCGGTATCATGCGGTGCGTGTCTGTCACCTTACAAAGCCTTTCTTGGTATACATGCGACCCGTACCTTCAAACCTCGATGTCTCAACTACTTGAGCGGGCAATTGGCTAGCTGGTTGCCGGCCCGCGCCCAAAGAGGGACCCAAAACTGGACTCTCGGACCCCCAAGAAGGCCCAAAAGCAACCCGAGTGCCTCTCATAGGCCGAAGAGGCGCAAACATCGCCCCTGGGATTGGAATTGGGGGCCTTGGGCCCTCGACAGTCATAGATTCGGGCTGAGTGGGAAATGGCGATGGCTGGTCAGGCTCTTTGGTGGGACCCCAAAGCGTAAGTTCTCCGTTCGTCAAGAAAGGCTCCAGCGCCGGAGTGAGGGGAAATGCTCACCATTAGGGCAATTTGAATTGAAAAAAAGAGTGTGATAGGAAATAGATCCAGCTTCTCCGAAAGCCCGGGTTTTTGGGAAAACCGGTGAGAGAAGGCGCTGAGATTGCATTGGGGCACACCATGAATCTTTAACGTGGCCAAATCTTTCGGGAACAAGGCCAGTATATGGGGGGAGTTCCAGGTATGTGTCCTTTTGAACACCTTTTTGGAGCTGTTTGGATGCTCAACTGCCACGCATATGCTACCACGCATGGGCGAATATAGCACAAGGCCAACTATATTAATTTCATTGCCTGGCCCGCTTTCAATGTTCCCAAGTTCTGAACACAAAACCGGCTTTGCAATGAGCTCAGTGAACGAATCAAATCGAGGCTGGCAAAGTTGGGGAAGCAAGCAGCGACATAAACATGTACGAGTTTTGGAGGCATGAGTCATCTTAGATATCGCCAATATAAGCTTGTAAGGCAGGAGGAATATCTCCTAAAACCAGAAGCAGAACATTCCCTGGAATTCCCCCATGGCGAAACAATCATCATACCCATACCCTTTCGGGGTAGTGGAGACAAACCGTCACGCGAAATCTGTGTGTGTGTGTGTGTGTGTCCGGTCCCTCCTTGTTGGGTAGTGGAAACAATCTTTTTTAAGCATATCTGTATGCACATATATACATATATACATATATACATATATATATATACATATATATATATATACATATATACATATATATATATATAAATATATATATATATATACACATGCTAGTTTCATAAGGGCTATGGAGCCTTCATGGCTCCAAAACCCATAGTTTAACTCCCCCGCTTGAGGACTTCCTGTGCGCCGGGGACGACCGTGGCCCGGGTGGCTTCCTGCAGCAGCAGGCCTTGCTGAAGAGGGCGGACGGCGATGACACCAAGCGCCACGGCCTGTGTGCGTGTGCTTTTGAGGAACTCATTCAGGAAGCCCGCAATGGTGTTTCTTCTGTTTGTTTTTGATTGGGAGGTATTTTGTTAGTGGTCCTTTCCGCTAGCTTTCCAAAATCGGGGATCCCCCAAACTGAGTGGGTGTCTTTTGGTTTGCAATTAAAACCATACCAAAGGGGGCCCCAATTTTGCAAGAGGACACTAAAGGGGGATGGGCCCAACCCCCTGCGAACAACCCATTTAATTTATTGGTTTCGACACTCATTCCGCACTTTCGGACCCCAGAATTGGTCCCAAGGACTGGAATGAACAAGGGATATGTACCTCCCTGGAATTCGAAAGAAACTTGGGTCATAGGTACATGGATGTTCAATAGGCCAACTTGAACAAGTTACATTTACAAGCTGATGTAAAGAAGCCCTTGGCCCTTGTAAATCAGATGGTTCTTGGGATCTAAGGAACCCTGTTCAATTTGCCTAAGACCATAAGCATGGGAGATTCGGGCGGGCGAGGCGAGGTTGGCTGTCTTATGCCCACTGGTCATAACCCATGGGACCAACGGCGCAACCGAAGGTCAGTGACCATGGAGCTCCAGAAACGGCTACGGGGAGGGGGGGGGGCTATCCCCTATTAAACCCCAAGCACCTAGGGGGCTGCCCCTTGGAGGTCAGCGGGGCCCTTTTTGTTCTTAATTCTCCAGTGAGCAAACTCACTAACAACTGGCCTACATGCCGTCAAGCAAACCCAAAGGCCACATATTCTGCAGCAGTTCCTCTGCCCCCAACTCCCAACCCCCCCCCCCCCGTCCACGGAATGAGTTGCCGAGGTGGTTCGCCGTGTTCCGGCCCACCAGCGCGGGGAGGCCCAGATGGAGCAAGAAGCTCGAGGACTTCCATCGAGGAAAAAAAAAAGGAGCGCGGTATACCCTATATTTACTGGCTCTCAGTAGGGATACTGACGCCGACAAAAACCATCCCCTGGTGTCTCAAGGGGAACCATGGTTCATTCTCAAATTTTCTTAGTTGATTTCCTAAGAACCAACAAGTTTGGGAAGTGGCTGGTGGTCGTATGGGGGCACGTAGTGGAAGCAATCTTGGAGAAGCAGCTTGCTTCCTTCGCAAATGCCAGGGAATCCCCACTCAACCATGGAATTGGGGATAGAGATTCTGACATTTTGAGTTCTCCATTTAGAAGGCTTGAGCATGGAATTGGGGAGACCTGCGACAAAGCGGGATTTGAAGAATGCTTTTACTTGATGATGCACCTTTACCTTTGAACGTCTCTTGGGCAACACTTGGGCAACATGTCGTACAATGTGTTTGGGTGTCACTAGTTTTGCAACGTTTCCGAAGGGAAGGACTAAGGGCAGTTCAGGATCTCTTGTTAATATTATGACTTGTGTTGTCCAAGGTTCTGCTACAAGCTGCAGGTTTGTTGGACGAAAGTCTCGGCAGAACAAAACAAACAGTTTGCGCATAAAAAGGGTGGCTGAAAGCGTGCACAAGAGAGGCCTGTAGATTGTGTAGAGCAGCCAATCAAATTTATATTTTCCAGAATGGCTCATCTCCACTCATGAAAGAATGCTGATTTTCCGGCAGGTTTCCTGTTTGGAAGTTTTCCTTGAGATCTTCAAGGAACAATCGGCCGGTCTTGAGTGTGATCTCAGGTTGACGCGATCAACAAGATGATGGACGGCTCTGGGACGGGGAAAGGTCTCAATGTGAAGGGCAAGTCAGCAAAGTCTGGCCGCCTTTCAGGCGCGGGGCAAAAACCTGCATCGCTCAAGCGACGTACCTGTTGCGTTGCACACCTCCAAGCTGGTGCTTGTAGGTTCCTCATGTTTGTCACGCTCGGTTAAGAAGTCTAAGCCTGGGCGTTCTGGCATCCAGCCGGGACCAGGATTGGCGGCTTGACCCCGCAGCTGTGCAGATAAACCAACAAAATCCCAATTGTGGACAAACAAAAACGGGGGCACTTGACTTTGCCCAACATGGGGCCTGAAAAAAGCAAGATTTCTGCCTATTTCATAGCAAGCTGGCCGATTGGGTTTGCCAAACATGAGGTCACTTGGGTCCTTTACTTCAAATCCCTGACTTCAGGTTTTGGACGTATGCCCTCTTGCCCACTTAACACCGAACCCGCCAGTGGGTCCCTTAAGGCAGGAGGCTACTCCCCAAATTAACGGACGTGGCTCTTGGCTGCAGCTTCGCAGGCTTCGTCCCGGTGCTGCAGATCAGCGAGAACCGCCACAAGGCGCAGGTCTGTACATCGCCCCCCGAGGCTCGCGTCAGCCACCTGGCCAGAGGCTCCGAGCCGGGTTCGCCCAAGCCTTTGCCTTCGTATTCTTCGTGATCCCACAGATGCGCCGACCTCCCTAGGTTGTGGCTTTGTTTTTTTTGGGATCAGGAGTGGATCTCAAGATGCATGGATATTTATTTGTAACTATATACACAAATAGATATTCACATGTGCGTGTGTGTTTAAATGCAAATATATATATATATATATATATATATACACATCAAGCAAAGATTGCGTGGCCTTCTGTTGTTCAGAGCAATGCCAGGGGAATGTAACGCATTCCCAACAATTCACAACTTGTTTACAGGTGTTTAGCAGGGGACGTCCTAACTAAAGTGGAGTTAGAATACATGCAACATTTTAGCAGTGACCAAAAGTGGGGCAACCACATTCATGGTGAGGTTTATCAGTGCCAAAGGGCCAAACATGTCGCATTCGGAGGTTGAAGGCTTGACGTACAATTCACAATGGACAAGAAGAGGGGAGGCGGAACCACCCTTTGGCATTTTTGTGGAATCCATCTGGCTCCCGAGGAAAAATAGAACAATTACATACCGTATTGCACACCTCGCGACTGGACAGAGAACTCGCACACACCACCATCAGTCTCATTTTGCATTCCCTTTTCAGAGTTGCGCACAGGGTTTGGAAAGAACTGCATAACAGGGGCGGGGCTCTGTGAATTCTTCTGCCCATTGGAGTGTGCTCTCTAGTTTGGGGGGGGGGTCAAACAAGCTTGAGCCCCAGGATCAAGTCCTTCACTACGGGATCCGTTTGTTGTTTCCAGCTAGCATTTTTTTGCGGAAAGGACTAGAGCCTATACAGTCCCTGACCACGCCCTCCAAATCCTCTTGGAATGTAAGTAGGGCACGGGCGGCTAGGGGCTGGAGGCCTGGGCTGGTATTTGCTGCGGGTTCCGGTTGTGGGAGCTCTTCGTGTTGTACAGATGCAGGCCTTTGCGGCCAGGTGTGTGTTCTGTTGTGGACCAGTGGAAGGTGTTGGGTTTTGGGGAGTGGCAATCAAGCCCCGGATAAATTAAGGGTATGAGGGGCAGTCCAACCATAGGTGTGGCAAGGAGCCCTTTGGCAAAGTTTGAGTTCTTTACATGGTTTTGGGCAATGGGGCTTTTCTATTTCTCATGATTCCCCTGTACGGTCATGATTCAATGTGGTTTTAACGTGCCCCACCCCATTCTAGTTGTTTGGGCCCCCAACTTCCTTTCTTTCTTTTTGTTGGGGGGGGCCTTACAAAACCATAGCGGCACGTGTTTTGGGTCTGCAAATGCTGTTTTCGGCCCGAGGGGGTCCATGGGATCCCGTTTTAGGGTGTTGGATCATAGCCAGGGGGAACCACGGCCCAGTTGCTCAGAAAATTGCAATCCCGTTGCCCCTAGGTATCTTTTTTTAGCCAGAAAGGCATGGGTTCCTTTAAGCAGGTTTTCCTGCCATTGCCAGACTTGCTTTGGACGGACGAAATCCTGGTCCTGCACCACTCTGAAACCATGGGAAGCCATTGCTCGTTGCATTTGCAGGGGAAGATTTCGTCCATCCATGGTATCTTTCATTTTATCCTTTTTCCTTTGTTGTGTTCCTTCGTGTTCCCTGTCAACTTTCAACTAGCAGCTGAGCTTTTGCAGTTCGGATCCGTTTGGCCCAGTAAGAGGGGTCACTGGTTGCAAATGGGGCGGTGTCCCCCTATCTGCGGGTAAAGCGAGCTTATGAAGATCCTTTACCTGCAAATCCGATTTTCATTTCAGGTTTTGGCACCAACATGGGGCGTTTCTTGGCCTTTGACCCTTGTTGAACGTCATGGGTCAAGGCGTTATCGATGGTTCCTTTACCCCGCGGCCCAAGTTAGGTCGAAATTGAAGGTCGTGGGGTGCCCGAAGCCCAGGAATCTACTTCCCCCGGGAGGAGATGTGCACGTCCGTGCTGCTGCGCATGCGAAAGGCGCGCGCATTCGCCTTTTTTGAAGCGGGCATTTGTTTTGGGGTTGTTTCAGGCGGAAACCTGAAGAAAACCAGCCTTAAGTTGAGGTTCCCTCATTGGGAACAAATCCATGCGGGGTTTGTGTTACGCTGCTGCTGGGTGCTGCTAGCTTCCCTTCCCCTTGTTTGGTCCAATTTAGTTTAGTTCCCTCCTTATTTGGAGCATATTGGAGCTATTTTAGGCAATGTCAGAGTTCGGGCACAATTTGCCTAAACAATTCTAAATAACTAGCCCCCGCTACCCTCCAAAGGGACCAGAAGGAGACATCGTGTAAACTGTTAGTTGGCCCCAGAAGTCCTCTTACAGGGTTTCCTGTATTTCCTTTCAGGGTGGGCTTGCGCAAGAGTTGCTTTTGGAGTGATGTTGAGCGGGGACTTCTTCATAGAAGCCAGCAGGATTTTCTGCAGGTTTAGCAAATACCAACCAACCAAGGTTTCCTGTAGACTTTCCCGTAGCCCGCAGTCCCGCAGGCCTTGGACGACATGTCACGGGTGGCGCGAGCCGCCTCTGAACGGCTGCAGTTGCATAAGGCGGGACGACAGACGGGCTGAATTTGGATGCAATGACTCAGAGGGTTTAATCATCAACTACCTCCTTAAAAGGTACTTGAACCCTTTGGGCGATGACAAGCTTGACTGGCTGGTTTTTTGGTTGGACTGATCGAATTGCCTATCTATGTTCGCGTTGTTTTAGCGCAAAACACCGAGCAAATGCGTGAACGGGAGGTGTCCGTTCCCGCGCACCAGCCAGATGACATGGCACAGTTTAACTCGATGGTGCGCTTTGTCAAGATCCCTCAAGGGAGATCTCCACGTGCAATGTGGATTCCACTAGTTTGAGACAAGCCCAGTTTGCAAGCAAGAGAAAATTCGGATACCGATCCTCTAACTTAGGATAGTTTTTAGCCATTGTGGTTCGAGTATGGTTGGTGCTTTGTTTAGGGCACCAGCTGTATCTCCCCAATGTGACGAGCTCGCACACTTGGGGATAGAACAAGCTCACCATGATGATGCTCCCTTTCTCAAGGCGCTCAAGGATCCCTTATTTAGGGAGTCAAATGGAGTAAATTTATCTAAACTCTGCAAGCGTATTCTGCAAGGCCCCACACCAAAACCAACACGCCCTGCTTTAAGAATGAAGCCTGGCCGGTGCTCCCCAGATCTCCAGTGCTTGTGTCGTTTGCGTCATATATTTTGTTTGGGGGGGGGAGGGGGGGTGACATCAACCACACATGTATCCCTTTTGCCCCTGTAAATCCCCAGGTCCGGGCCCCTGACAGGCCCGGAGGGGCAGCCGCTGCAAATCGGGTGTGGCGTTTTTCGACGTGCTCAACGCATGTGCCCCACTTACCAAAGCAGAACCAACGAGGGGATCGGCAGTTTGCCCTTTTTTCATTGAGCCCGTCTTTTGAACCGGGCTACGGATATGGCCACAAAGTCACAGATTTTTCGCATGGCTCAGAAAGCTTTTGGGAGCCGAAGCCAACAAAGCCAACAAAGCCAACAACAGACCTCGAATGGCGCCCTTCTCCTTTTGTTTCGAGCAGGAGCCCCTTTATCCTCAGTCAAAACAGAGATGTCACACCCCATTCCTTGAGGCGGGCAAGCGGCCACTGACGGATGAAGAGGAGGCCAAAGCCTTCAAGGACCTGTTGATGGAGGCCAGGTCTTGCAAAACAGTGGATACCGACCTTTAGTCCATGTTTAGTCAAGGTTCACTCAGTCAACATTGGTCCTTCTTCTTACCCACACGAGGCAGACAACAGATTTTCCGGTCATTACCAAAACGGTTTTGTAGCAGAGCCCGTATTTCGCAAGCAAATGCGTGGTGCAAGCACAGTCGTTTGCCCGCCTGTCAGATAAATACATGTATGGCCACCTTGTTGACAAGACTGCCTCACCCGCACACGCCCTCAGTCAAAGAAGCCGACCAAGCAATGCTCTTCTTTGAAAAGTTGGTACCTGGTACTTCCACTTCCCTGGTTGGTTTTCAAAACATCTTGACTTCAAAGGGCAGGAAATTGTTCCTCTTTTCGAGTCGGCACTTTTCGGCTTTGCATCTCCAGGCATCCAGACAAAAAAAAATCCGGGCTCGATGTCAAAATCATGTGAGTCTTAAGGAGAGCCCGGAAAAATGGTCAATCAGGTTGAACCTTATCCAATCATTTGAGTCAGGGGGAGGCCACCTGATCTGAAGACGCGAATCGGGCCCCGAGAGGTGGAGGATGACTCCATGCACGTGCTGCAGCTCTACAGCCCCGAGGCTTGGGGCTTGGCGCCTTGGCAGCCATCGGCTGAGCGAGCCCGGCCTCGGTGGAGGGGATTGCGGGCTTTTGATTTTGAACCCCAGCAGGGGGACGGGGGTGTGATTTTCATTTTTTCAGGGTGCAGTGGGTGCAGTATTCTTTTGGGCCTATGGAAACCAAAAGGAAACCAAACTCATTCTGGGGAGTGCTGAATCCGATTTTGAGGCAAACACACCGGCCGCAAATCCTGAAACAGTCGGGATGGATAACCCGCAAAACATACTTGGACAAACCACCTACCAACTGGAGCCAAGCGAATTTGGTCATCCACAGGGCGGTTGTCTGATTCTAGACGGGACCATTTGCTTTTGCAGCTAAAGAGTCCCAGCTCAGGACGTCCCGGAGCGAGTCTTTCGGGAAGTGTCGCTCGGCTTATTTGGCGCGTTGGGCTGGCAAATTGGTTCCAAGGCCTGGGCAAGTACTCGACTTGTTGTGTTGTGTGTGTGTGTGTCTGGTTGTGCGCGTGCCTGTGCGCACGCCTGTGTGTGCGCCTGTGCGGGTGCGTGTGCGTGTATGCGCGTGTGTGCGTGTGTGTCATTGTGTGTCTCTATGTGTTTGTGTCTGTGTTTGGCCCTGGTGCCGCCTTGTGCCCCCTTCTAAACAGGTCTGAAGAAGGCCGTATTAGTGTCTCTCTCTGCTGGGAAGCTAGGCGAAAGAAGACCCTTTGACGGTTGGCCGTTGACCTGGGCCTTCAACCTGGTCTTTTCTGTTTGAAATGGTTGTTCCCCATGAACTGCAAACCTTCAATTTGCTGCTCACAGTGATCCCAACAAAACAACATGATGCTTTTGACATGGTCCAATCACGTGTCTCCATGACGCACTGATTTGGAGCCATAGCAAGAGGAGCGAAGAGCAGGTTCTGACCCTCAATAGTCAATGGTCCTTTATGGGTCTTGAGAGCTACTAGTATTCGTGTTTAGTCTTCTATGACCCCCCTTATCCTTTATGGCTTGCAGTGTCCGAACGGGTCTGCCCGTGCTCCACACTAATGCTGGCCGCGTTTGCGACTGTTAGCTAGCTTGTTAAGGAGGCAAGGGACATCTTAGCCGGCTAAGAAGGAGCCACTGCCTGGTAAAACTGAAGCCGACCCGGCTAGAAAACTGAAGCTGGAGTCAGAGAGCCGCGAAAGTTAGTTAGGCTGAGAGGTGGCGGTGTAAGGTGGGATAATAAAGCTGTGCAAACCTAGATATTGATGGTTTCTTCGCAGGCATGGTTGTTCAAAGAACTGGCAATCCGTTAAACATAGATAAAGGCACTGGCACATTTGTTTGCAGCAGTGGAAAGTTTGTTACCGTGGCCGGAAGCTTGTTAAAGCAGCTGCCTGTCTCTTAAAACAAGTGAAAGTTTGTTGAACTTGCTAGTTGGCTGTGCAGATGACTAGAAGCTTGGTTATGTAAAGGGTTGGAAGTTTGTAGGGAAGGCTGCAGGTTTGTAAAAGCGGCTGTGAGTTTGTGAGAGGGGGCGTTCGTTGAGCAATGTCGCCTTCTCCTTGCAGCACCGGTCATCGCGGCTGCTGCGCGTCGGGCTTCAACTTCTCATTCCAGCACCTCTGCGGTTCGCGCGGCTGCCGCGTGTCGGGCTCCAACCTTCGGGCGCGGCTGCGCGCAAGCACCCATCCATTCTCGTCAGCTTAAAGCGGCACTGCGCAAGCCCACCTCCCTGCGCGTTATCACCTCTTGGCTTGGACCCCAAAATTCGGAGCGAGAACAAGGAGAAAGCGGGGCGCGCGTGGGTTGGCCTTGGCCCAAGGATTGAAGCCCGATACGCGGCAGCCGCGTAGTCGGGCACAACCCTCGGGCCAGGCCCACCGGAATGGTGGCTGCCTCTTGCAGGCACCCATCCCCGCATCACGCGGCTGCCGCGTGTCGGGCACCAACCCTCGGGCCACCCAAACTCTTGCAAGCACCCATCCGACCCATGCGCTTGTGCTTCAACGCAGCTGTGTCGGGCCTGAATCTTCGGGCCGCAGGCCCACCCAGACGGCGGCTGCTCCCAGCGTTGCGCTTCCTCCGCGGTCGGGCCTCAACCCTCGGGCCGCAGGCCTACCAGGTGGCTGCACATGGCCGACATCACCGTCGTCTGCATTTTATCTATGTGCGTCGCCTTTCTCCTTGCCGCATCCTGAACGGACGCGGCTGCCGCGAGCTGGGCTTCAATCCTCGGGCCTATGCTCCAGACATCTCCAGACCAAGCGCGCTAGACTTTTTCACGCGGCTTTCCGCCGGAAGCCTCTCTGCAGTTTAGATTTCAATAGCTTGAATCTCTTGGTCAAATATTACCTTCGCGCCCTACCCCTGCTGCCCTGCAGTCCTTTAACGCGGATTTTCTGTAGGTTGATTGGCTGGCAGTCGTGCAAGTGGGAAAACTTGCCCGAGCAAACTTGTTAACAGGCATACAAGTAGACAACGGGGCCATAATGAGCAATCGAGAAGCAACCCGTATCATATGATTCTGTCTAGACATGTTATGGCTATCTGAATAACCTTGTACGCGCGATCAACAGTGTCTGAAAGCTGAAAGGCTGCGATCAAGTTAGAACCAGCTCACGTTCTCGGCGACACAGACGTGAAAGCGGCTTTCCTTGCAGGCTCCGCGTGTTGTGTTGCAAAGTGCGCCGGCCAGCCCGCAAGGCGCTGGGAGTTCTGGGCAAGTGGCAACCAAGCAAAGTGCTGCCGAAGGCGCCCCGCCCTAAAGAGATGCGGGTTTACACGGGCAAGTCGCAAGGCGCTAGCGCCTATGAAAGCTTGGTGGCGGAGGCCTTCAGCCCAAGCTTGGGGTGGCCCCAGCTAAGAAAGCAGTCTCAGACCAACTACAGCTTCCAGCGGCATCCTTGAAGGGAGTGACACGTGACGCAAACGGCTCTGAGGGGCGCGGCAGATCTCAAGATGGACAGGCAAGCGATGGCAAGCGTTGCGGGCAACGCGCGAACGCGCGACACGGCTCAAGGTCAACTCCCGTCTCACGGTCAACTCCTCATTCTTACGTGACGCGAGTAAGTAACGCCGAGGTCAAGCACCCAAGTGGCAGGCCAAATCCGGAGTTTCATGGGCAAGTTCTCTACAGCGAGCGTAGCCGCGACCTGAATTAACGATTGAGGCGCCAAAAGGGTTTACACGGCCAAATGTCAAGCGCCCACATGGCAGGCCAGATCCGAAGCTACACGGGCACGTTCTACAGTTAACGCAAACGTGGCCTGAGTTAACGGCGGAGGGGTAAGAGCGATGCAAATGGCCCGAGGTCAAGCGCCCGAGTGGCAGACTAGATCCGGAGTTACACACGCAAGTGCGACAGTTAACGGCCACATGTCCTGAGTTAACGGTGGGCGTGCCAAAGTTGTTTACATGGCCCGAGGCCAAGCGCCCGAGTGGCAGACCAGATCCGGAGTTACACGCGCAAGTGCCACAGTTAACGGCGACGTGACCTGAGTTAACAGCGAAGATTCAGAAGTAGAGCAGTTCAAGTGGCCCGGGGTCAGGCGCCCGAGTGGCAGACCAGACCCGGGGTTACGCGGGCAAGTTCTACTGTTAGCGGCGAGGTCACTGCGTTAACGGGCGGAGTTGCGACAGTAACTCGACATGCCCGAGGTCAGGAGCCCGAGTGCCAGACCAGATCCGGAGATATGCGGGCCAGTCCTACAGTTAACGGCGAGGTCACTGAGTTAACGGGCGGAGTTGCGAAAGCGACTTGGATTGCCCGAGGTCAAGAGCCCGAGCGGCGAGCCAGGGCCGGAGTTATGTGGGCAAGTTCTGGGTTGTAAACAGCTTCGCGGAGAAGGCTGCCGGCCAAAATGCTCAAGCGAAGTGGGTCACCTGTGCGTATAACACCTGACCGCAAGGTGAAAGCAGCGCGTGTTCGAGCTGAGGCGAATCACTAGAAAGTGACAGCGCAAGCTTATGAACATGCAAGCGGCGGGGTTTTTGGGCATTGGACCGCCCTTAACGAGCAAAATGAGTTAGGGTTTCGCTGCGGCCCGAAGCGTGCCACTTGCCAAAGGATTCCAAACGTATCGCGCAGTCTGCCACGCAGCCGTCCGCGGAGTCTGAATCACCAGAAGAGGCTTGAGACTGAGCCATGTCGTTCAGAGTACACTTACGTTCGAGAATTGCTAAAGCGTGCGCTTTGTTGACATGAGCCACGAGCGGCCCGTCGAACACATGTCCCGCAAATGCCTGTACACGTTTGAAGCCATGCAGACCGCGCGCATGCGTTTTTTCCTTTTTCAGAAATTACTGTTTTTTGCGAAACAGCATGAACTAGTGTTTCAAAGCACTTTTTGTGGTTTGACCGTCTTTGGGCGGCACCGAGGCAACCTCGCGCAGAATTGTTAACCATACTTAACCATCGTGGTTCGAGCCCTCCATCCCTATCGTGAACGGCGCCTTCAAAAGCGCGGGGGCTGGGGCCACAAAGGCTTAACAGGTCTGGAGTTGGTTCCACGACAGCAGGCCCCCTGGCTCCACACGGCAAGTGTTGTTTTGGCGCAGCGTTCACCAGCAGGGCTTGCTTTCTGGCGTGCAGCATGTTGTAGCACGACAGAGCAACTCCGCCACGGGAGGCTCATCATCTTGATGGGCATGGGCACACCCATAGGATGCTGCAGTAATTGCACCCTGCCTGGACGAACAACCTGTAGAGAGGCCGCGTAGGAGCAAATCAGCGCAAGCAGCTCTCACTGAAACCAGCTCTGCGTAGGCAATCAGCACTGCAGCGCAAGCAAGTCATCCTAAAAGGCACGGCTTTACCAAGCAACGCAGCACCCCCAAAGGGGGCATAACAACTCACTTGGAGAAGCGCGGCCCCAGCATCGCAACGCCACACCTGCCCTGTAAAGCACAGCAACTCCGCGTCAACCGCGCAGCAGCGCAACGCAAGCACTGCTGCGCAAGCGATGTGAGACCAGCAGCTCTGCGAGAGCAACGCAAACCACGCCAAGGCAAATTTCTCCCCAACACGCTTCCTGCAGTCAAGTAAACAAGATACGAAAGGTAGCAGAGACAGAAAGCTTGTCACCAAGCGGCGACAGCTGGCAGAGTGCGGGCACCTCTCTGAGGCATCCATCTAGCCAAGGACACGCCCCAAACCGTTTTCAGCCAGAGCACACGCACACCCACGCGCGGACACACAAAAAGGAAACCCATATACACACACACACACACAAACGCTCGCACGCAAGCGCACGCAAGCGCGGAAGCAAGCGCGCGCACGAACGCACGCACCACGCTCACGCACACGCATGCTCGCACACGAGCGCAAACGTCGCGCGAACACAGACGCGTGTGCGCAGGCGCACAGCGTGTGTGTGTGTGCGCGCACGCGCGCGTGCACTGACGGACGCGCGCACGCAAGCACTTCACGATCCTGCATGGGTTTCGTCCGTGTGTCTGTGGCGTGGCGGAGTCTTGGAATATGAGACTATCTTAAAACTTACACACCTTTCTGAGAAAGCCTTCAGGGAAAAAAAGACTGCGCAGAGGACTCGGGAGTTAAACGCGGCATAAAAAAAAGTTAAGTTTGTCAAAAAAGAGTTAAGCCAGCCACTCAAGTGTTAAAATTGCCATTGACAAGTTAAAAGTGCAACAACAAGAGTTAAACTTGCCTTTCAGTACTTAAAGTGGCAATGAACCAGTTAAAATGGGAATGAAAAGCATAATGGCAGTCACTCAATCGTTACACGGGACATGTAAGGAGTTAAACGAATCATCAAACGGTTGGCAGCGTGATGCAAACACATCGCAACAACACTCAGGTGTTGAGTCCTGGCATGCCCCCTCAACGCCCTCAAACAAATCTTAGCGAAGCCGCTGATGTTATGCTCCCTACCCTAGGCTGAAAGAAAACTAGCTCCGGTTCAAACAAGCCAAAATCCAACATACAAAAGCAAGCCGAGGGCCATGCCCAGAATTGGACGCCTTCCTATGCGTAACTCACGAACAACACCGCTTAACTCTGGAGATAACACGCACCTCAAAACTCACGATATGTGGCAAACCTCACTCAGACCCCAGTTGGACGCTCCAATTTATGGCTCTGAACCAGTACTTGAAAGATGGGGATGAGCCTAGGTACATCACCAGGGGCAACATCATCAGGGATGGCGACTGGAAGACCGGCCGTCCTTCCGAGCCGGCGTTCATGGACATGACGCTTGGGAGCGTTTTTTTTTGTGTGTCGGGGGGGGGCCCCCAGAAGGACGAATTACTGATGTCCTCTTAGACAAACCTGTATTTTTGTTAGTCCCGTATGCAACATGAAACGCTAGAGGCCCAACTGCCTACAAAAGAGTACCCCTGGCATCCTGGCAACTATCGATTGTGTGCCCTGTACTCCCCTATGCTTCCCTTCCAGGGTGGTTTTGACGGTAACTTTTGGGCGAATTCAAAGTGAGCTTCTTTTTTGGTGGGTAATGTTCAAAGAAACACATAAGGAGCCCTGTTTGTGTACCCGTACCCATTAAACATTTGCGACTCTGGCATTTCCATCAACAATCTGTAAGTGACAACACTCTTCAACTGGTATTTTAGCAGCAAGCTATAGTTTTCCACAGGACAGCCAACAATAAAACATGCATATTAAATATGATTCTTTGCCGACAAGATTCTGGACGCAACGGCGGAGCGAGAGAGAGAGAGAGAGAGAGAAACAAAAAAAACAGAAGAGTGAGAGACAGCCAAGATTTGTAAAGGCGAAGAAACCTGGGTTTGGAAACCCTGATGGGCCCCCCTTTTGGATAGTGTTTGAAGGCACGCCACCGGACAAACGTTTTGGGGCCTCATACTTTGGAATCAACCGTATCTAAGCTGCCTCTCTTGGAGTCTTGGGATTGTTTTGATGCCCCATTCCCCTCTGGACAGTTCTGAAAAGTGCTAAGAATTCAAACCTTGGTGGAATCCACAGCCATGTTCGAAAATGGACCCCTCCCCCCCATTTTGTTTTGCCCCAAATGTGCGATGGTCAACCTTCTCTTGCGTGCCATTGTCATTTGCCCCTAATGAGAACCCTAGAGATGGTCCAATTCATCGCCAAGGGGTCGATGGCGTTCTAAGCCCAGAGGCAAGGGCATGCCTGTGTAGGGCCGCAGTCATTTTTCTAAATCCTTGCAAGTGAAAAATCCAAGCACCACACCGTGGATGATGGGAACTTGCAGGGATTCCCTCGTTCCGCCATTTGTTGGGCATCCGGATTATTTTTGAAGGATCAACACTAGGCACATCTTTCAGAGCGCATTGCTTGGCCCAGGAACCTGTACACGCTTCGCGGCTTGGCAGAACTTCCCTTGGACGTTAAGCGACTCCAACCCAAACCAGGGCTACATACCTGAGCCATCACACCCCTTGAATCCCTTGAACAAACAATAAGTCTAGGGTGTCTACGTGCACTAAAGTAAAGTAGATATCGGAATTCCCGCTAGATGGGCAAGCAAAGGGGATGATTTCAACCAAAGTTGGTTGGAGTGGTGCCATCAAGGTTCACCCAACCGCGCCCGTTTTCCAACAGCCATGGAAGCTGGCAGAAAGGTGGAATATAGTGCTCTTGGAAGGCTTGTCCACTTGCTTCGGGGGCATATTTGGTTCCCCTGAATGGAAACCAAGCTTGCTTCCTCAGTCTTTGCACTTTGTGGCCAGACAATTATAGTGGTAAACACAGGGTTCAAGCTGGTTTGTGGGCGCTTCCAATCAGGAAGCGATTTCAGACGCGCGATTTCAGACGCGAAACCCCGCAACTCCCCCACTGTACAAACCTGCCCAAAGCGTTATTAGGTCCTCAGCAGGGCTTGTTTTCGAGGAACAACCCCTGACAGCCTTAGGCAGGCTCGGGCAACCGTATGTCTTGCGAAATGTTTATTTTGCGGTCTCTAATTTGCCTCAGAAGTTTGAGGTATTCACTTCGGGTTGGTGCTGGGAGCCTGTTTACCCTACTCACTGCCGCGCTTGAGCTCTTTTCCAACCCAAGCCAAAAGGCAAAAAACACGACAAACAAGGACTATCCCCTCGGATCCTCGGAACCCAAAAGCGCCCCTTGGCTTTGTGTTACAATATGGACTTGGACTGCCGCATCGATCTTTGGTTGTTCTGTTGGTTTACCTGTTCTCCTCAAGGTGAAAGGGGCGCTTTCTTATGAACCAAGTTGAAAGTGAAAGCGGTCCAAGCCCCAACGAAAACACAAGCACGCCTTTTTGGGGCCGAGTTTAATCATTGAGTGAGGCGATGCAAGCGCCGCGCCGCGCGCAGTGATGTGGCAGTTGGATGTGGAGGACCCCCCTGGCCACTGGAGGTCTGCGGTATGAACCACCCC